GAGAAAAATAACCCTGATTGGCTGAGGCCATTGTTAGTCAGGTTTTCCCTAGGAACCTCCATTTCACAGACAAGACACAAGACCCTTCAGCAGAGAGCAACTTGATGTGAGGATGCTGCTCTTCTGACAGAGAAATCAGCCCTCATCATCCTGGAGTTCGCATGACCTGGTGAGCTGCCTTTTCCCCCCTTCCCTGACTGGCCTCCTGTGGGTGCTTCCTTCCCACCCTGTAATCTGGACAGCCGGTCTCTGCCCAAGAAACCTCCCTGATGGCCGCCTGCTCCCTAACCTAACCCTACCCAGGGTCACCAAACTCATGCCGCAAGGCAACGCCCAGGCCCACAGTGGAGCCCTGAGCTATGGCCTGAGGGAGGCAGCTGACCCCACAGCTCTGTCACTCAGGGCCTGTGGGTGGGTGCCAGCACATGCGCGAGGGCTGGAGCGGGCAGCCTGTGCGGCCCTGAGCAGGTGGCCGTCCTCAGAACCTGCCAGGTGTGGGGTTGGGGCCATGGTTTCCCCTACTGCTGTTGGACCTGGGCCTTGGGTGCTCAGGGGCCACTGCGGGCTGTGCTCTGGTGCGTCTCGTGCCATCCGTGTGTCAGTGGCCCCACCGCCCCCTTGGCTCGGGGTCCACGTGGGGAACGCAGCCCTGCAGCTGACAGTGACTGAGGGTGCCTGAGACGACGCCATCACAGGCTGGCCCTGAATGCCAAGCACGCGATCCCTATACCAACAGCATTAGATTTGCAACAACCAGGACACACACACGTACACAGATCCCAGACACAGATGTGTGGGCACCTGCCACGCATGAGGAAGCCGCACAGGAGACAGACTCTGACAGCCCCGCGCACCTGCTCTGCCAGGGGAAACCTCGGTGCCTGGGCTCTTGGGAGGGGACAGTGGGCTGACCCCCATGGGAAGGCCCTGGCGCTCCTCAGCGGGCCAAGACCATGGAGGGTGGGACAGGGGTGGGTGGCAGGGGAGGCCAGGTTGCCTGGCGTGCAGCCAGCACCACCTGTGACCCTGGGGCCCAGCAGCCAGGCCCTGGATCTGCTGAGCAAAAGACACAGCGCCATGCTTTCTGTCAGGGATCAGGCCCATGCCAGGATGTGAGGCTCCCGCAGCCTGGCGGTCAGCTGGTGGTCTCCTCTCTGTTCTATCTGTTTGTTGCTGCTGTTGTTGCTACTGTTTTGAGACAGGGTCTCACTATGTAGCCCAGACTGCCTTGAACTCCCAGTGATCTGCCCACCTCAGCCTCCCTAGTGCTAGGATCATAGGTGCGTGCCTCAAGCCCAGCTGAAAAGACAACTGGCTCTGAGACAGCGTCTAGGTGTCGCACACATCTGCTGATGCACAATGGTGACAGGCCAGGTGCAGGGAGTGTCACCTGCAGTCAGGGTCACCTGAGGGACTCCGGCCGGCTTGGTGCTCCTCAGGTGCAGGCCTCCTCCATGGCCCGACCGAGAAGGAAGCCAGACAAGGAGCCGGCACTAGGTCCCGGGCGGGAGCTGTCTCCACGAGGAACGGACCTTCCCTGAATAGTGCCTCTTCTCCGGCCCGCACTGTTTGGTACATGTGTGTCCTCTCTGCGACACCGTCACCCTGTGCGGCAGGTCTGTGTGTGGGACCGGTGCCCCAGGGAATAGGGGAGAGGAGGCAGAGGTGGGAGAAGGGAGGCCACCAGGGAGGAGGCTGCAGGAAAGGGGTGAGGTCTGCCTTGGCTAGGAGAGCTCTGGAGAGAGGGGCTGGGGAGTAAATAGGGCTTTCAGTGAGGCCCAGGCTTCTAGAGGTAAAAGGCCCTTTAGTTTATCCAATGACTACATTTCGAAAATGGTGGCAGAATACATCTAGGATTTGCCATCATAGCCATTTTTCTCATTTTTTGGAAAGAGGCCTCATTATAGTTGAGGCTGGCCTTGAACTTGTGACCTTACTGCCTCAGCCTCTGAGTGAAGGCTCTGCTCCCCCATCCTGCTCCTCTTAACCAAGCTTATGGCACAGTGGTATCCAGTCCATGGCGTCTTCATCTTGTGACCGGGCTCTGCTGGCCGCACGCCCCCTGCCGGCCCAGCTCCCTCA